AGAATGATATTTAATAAAATTATTCAAGATATTTTACGTACAACGGGTACGTGCGGTAATGATTTTTATGCCACAAAAACAAAATTTATATCCTTTGTTATTCTACCTCTTTAAGAGGTGAGTTGTGGTATTTCTTCATTCACTCCAAGGAATGAAAATGTGCTTCAAAAATAACTTTGAATAGCTTATTATTTTGTTTAAGCACAGAAAGACACAGTTTCATAATATTTTCCTGCTTCAGGAGAAAATTTCAATTGTGTTACTTCTTCAGGAGCAAATTTAAAATACGAAATATTGAGTATATATTCCTTCAATCATATTACCTCTTCTGGAGGTGAATTGTAATATATTCACATCAAAAACGTGTTCCTATTTACGCCCTTTATTAATATTGTCACATTTACTTCAGGAATGGGCTAATATTTATCAAAAGTTCTCATCCTTCAGGGAACGGAACATAATTATTTGAACGTGCATTAATCACACCAAATCGTGTGATGTCTTAGAAGCTCTTTTACGATAATGCTACTTCAGGAGCAAATCGAGGCATGCATGTACTATAGAGAATATTTCTCTAGTTTATCTTCAATTGTAACCACAGAAAGCCTAAATTATCACTTCTGGTGGCCATAGGCATATACCACTTCTGCTGGTTAACAAAAATTTAGTTACAACGAGATATGCGAAACATAACCACTTCTGGTGGTTGTATATTTCTTGCAAACTCTGCTGGAGTATAAGTGGATCTAACAATGTCATCCACTTTATAGTTTCCTATGCAATATTACTCTTCTGGAGTAAAATTAAAATCTTAATTCGAAAACGAGTAAGTGAAAAACGAAACATAAAGATATACAAATTATAGTGTTTTAAAATTCATAAAATGCTCCAGAATCTCGTCCAATGATTATGGCTCACTTACTAGGTTCCTAAGTACCTTTTTTATTTTATTTTAATGGCAGTAGCACACATAGCAAGTAAAACGCATAACTTATCTTTGATGGTGTCTGCTAGACCCATCATATCAAGATGAATTCCAGCATCAAGCACCCAAGACACGTAGCTTTTACCCGATATATCCAATACTACAAATTCACATTTAGAAAGATTTGGCATTATTTACAAAAAGAAAGTTCGTACCATTGATACTTTCAAAGTATTTGCTCGAGATGGCAGAGTCTCGTGCTGATAACGTGTTATAAAATAAAGACTATAAAGTAAAGACAAGTATAGAGAGAAACTGATATATTATTCGAATTCAAACTCATCTGCATAATGAACTGAAATCTCTTTTATTTATAGAAGAAAGGAAGCTGCTGTGTAAGCTGCTACGCAAGCTGCTATGTAAGTTGCTACTACAAGCTGCTGTGTAAGTTGCTACTACAAGCTGCTGATTAAGCTGCTATGCAAGCTGCTGTGTAAGCTGCTACTGCAAGCTGCTACTATACCAGATATGGATAATCTTCTACCTAGGGTAATGTTTATCCATAACCGGGTAACTAAGTGATAAGCTTCTTCAGGAAGCTTATTTCCAATAGAGTACTAAATAGATAAACATATTTACGGTGGAGTCTCATATGGATAAGCTTCTTCAGGAAGCTTATTTCCAATAGAGTACTAAATAGATAAACATATTTACGGTGGAGTCTCATATGGATAAGCTTCTTCAGGAAGCTTATTTACAACAGAGTACTAAATGAACATACATAATATAATATATTTATAACATTTTTTTTTTTGGGTAAATATGAATATGGTGTTTTAACATCACGTGATCCGTTTTTGTATAAAATCGTACACCATTTCTTTTATTCTCAAAACTGGAATAGATCCCTCTAAACGGCTCCTTGAATAGTTACTGCGGCATTTTTTTCCCCAACTCCAATCCAAGCTTCATATTTTTCGCGAAATACCAGAAGACAAGACATCGTATGTGTTAACTTTATGTTAAATTGCTAGTATCCTCTCTATTGAAATGCAAAATGGACTCCTCATGCTTGGATTATTTGATTGAAATTAATAACAGAACGCTGGGTTTCCTTTTGCCTTCTCTTAGGGTTTAGGGTTTGTTTGATTAAGAAGTGGAATATTCTTTAATAATTTTGAGCTATTAATTTGGTAAACAACTTTTTTGGGTCGATTTTAATTACAATTTGGATTGCACCAATAATGAGTTTCCCTAATAAATTTCTAGTACTTTATAGACCTAATTTTGAAGTCTTGGAAAAGTTTAATTGTTGAACTCTGACTTGTTTGTATTACTATCTGCATGCATGTGTGTGTCAATGTAGTAAAAAAGGAGCTTTTTTTTTTTGTTCTTTTTTTTTTCTTCTGTATGTAGGTCTTCTTCCACTTAGCTTAATGTGCTTTATGTTATATATATTTTTTTTTAATGTTTTTTAATCTTTTTGTTCCTGGAACTTCATTTCTTGCAGAACTTCATTTCTTTCCAGACTGAATATACTGGTTTTATTAAGCAAGAGGTAACCTTTGTTTGTTTGGAGCATATAATGAAATCCTTTTGAAATGCACCAGTACGGGGTTTGTCATGGAGGGCATCTAATGCTATATTTTTCATATTTGATTTAATGCCGCTATATTTTGTCTTGAGATTCTTTTGGTAAAATATGGCATGGCATGCTATGTACTTCTGCACTGTGTTTTCTATCATGTTATCCATTGTTTAGGTTGATGGTTGTATAACATGAAATTTTATCTTTTGGCATGTTTTTACATATGCTTCGACATATTGCATAAATATTCTGATGTGAAACCACTGATGTTTACCAGGGTTGCTTCTGATTTGGCCATCCTGCCATGGCTAATAATTCTCACTTCACTGCCATGCAGGTATCCCTTCCAGAAGAATCTTTTTCCCTTTTCCTAAAGTTAGAAAATTTCGGTTTAATATAAAATTCTTATGCATTCTCTGGTATTTATACATCAAATACTTTGGTATCTCTGGTACATTGAATACGTTGGTGTCAAAATCTGTGTATGTAGAGAATAAGGTTCTACCACTTTTTGTATACCACTTATATACCGGAATTTTCCTCCACTACATCAATGAATGTTACTTTATCAGAAAATGCTTCTCGGAAGGCATAGTAGTTGCTGAATGGAGGTGTGCCAAGGTATAATGAATATGCAATCTGTATCATTCATACATGTGTGTGTGTGTGGGAGAGAGAGTGAGAGAGATTTTGTCTTAATAACAAAAATGTAGTCTTTCAATAGTTTTGTTTGAAATCTGTTATGAGAGCAACTATCCTAGGCCTAATCCTCTTTACTAATTTTGTAAGAATCTTACGCCTTCTCTATCAGTAGAGTCTTCTGCCTTGACTTACATATGTCTAGACAATATACATTTTTTTCTGATAAGGAAAGAAAGGTACTCCGTTGCTGGGGATTGAACCTCGGTCACCCACGTGAGGCACTATACATAAATGGAAGTACGTTCTTCTAAAGTCTTCCTGAGTATTGCTCCTGGAGAATTTGTTTGTGTCTTACATGTGTTTACTATTAACTTGAATTTTGTTGCTATGAAACTAACCCTTATTAACAAAGAGGTGACGTGGTTTGTCAGTCTGCTCTGTTTACTTTGGTGGTGGATATTTAGAGTAAGAATGATCTGAAAACTGATGTGCAGTAGGTAAAAGAATTGGTTGAGATTCTATTATCACGTTTGCTTTCGGTTTTCGTCTTTTACTGACAACATTCTTCTCCTGGATAATATTGATTGCAGAGATCTGTCCCTATCATTCTTCAGTCATATTTTGAATCTATTACAGTTAATAGTTGAGACATCTGTGCTGCTGTTAGTGTCTCTACGAGCATAGAGAAGTTGAGGATAGCTTCCATTAAGGACTAGTAGGTTGATCTGTTTTCTTTCTGCTTTCTTCTTGATGGGGCTGCCTTTAGAGGATACCTCTGATTTCATACATTTAGGGACCAAGTTCTGGAATGGAACTCCTAGAGGCTTTCTGATTGGAAATTACTTCATTATTTTCCCTGTTGTTTGCTTTGGCTTGTTGCTTTACTCTTCCAGTTTGATAGTCAAAATATTTCTTAATATTTATCCTTATAAGAGTATGGGTGATGCATGTTCTTTCTAAAATGGATTGCCAAAAGGAGGAGGAGGAGGAGGAGGAGGAGGAGTTCCTATTCCAATCCTTGGATGTTTCTCCTTAAGTTACTAGTTTTCCCTGTTAAAAATAGATATTTGTTGGGCAAATAGCATTTTTAGTCCCTGTGTTGTTGCATTTTTCCTAGTTTAGTCCTTCTGATATGCGTCGAAGCACATTTAACCTTCATTAAGCAATGTGTATGTTTTTAGTCCTTAAACTAATGGAAGCCAAACAAATAATGGACTGTTAACTCTACAAAGGGCAATTCGGTATTCCGTGTTACTTTCAATGCAAAAACTTAAGACAAGAAAAAAAACCCTATTTATGTGTTTTAATTAGATTATCTGCCATTACAAAGAAACCTTTCCTCTCCCTTTCTTGTAGAATTCTTCAACTGAAGACTAAGAACTTTCCTGAAATTCAATAGTAGTGTTTGTCTTCCATGTACTTAACAATTGCATACGGGACTTGAACTTCCTTTTCCATTCAGAGCCAACAGAGACTCCTTGATTATCTGCAATATTTCCATCTTAATCTTAAGAACACTGAAATTGCAATCTACAAAATCTTAATTCACCAAAATTGGCAAATGAAAATGACGAGCTGAGCAAAACTGAAAGAGTAACACCATATGAAATACTAGTGAATGTGAAAGTAGCGAAAAAAATGGAGGTTTTCCTGAGGGTAAGGAGAATGAATAATAAACTCGGCAAGTTTCTGGGTTCTTCTCATTGATATAACAGGCTTTTTCGTCGCCAGATGCTGCTCGTTATCCTTGGAAGCCTCTGCCTGCGGCTGCTGCTTGACGGTGGGGGTTCTCCACTTCTCCGGTTGCTCCCATGAATTTTTGTTCTGAAACTATGTAAGATTTGATTAAATGTAAGCTCAGATGACCTTTGCATGCTTAAACGAGATAGAAACAGAACATGACAATAACAAATGCAAAGTGTAGTCTTGAGTGTTCAATGTTGCTTTTCAACTTATTGCCACGTCTGATGACTAACCCACCAGAATAGAATACAAGAAATAATTTATGGAGTACAAAACAAGGGAAAATTAGATGCCTGAATTTGTTGTCCTTAATGTTTAACAGCCCATAATTTTGTTTGATGTTTGTTAGTATAAGGACACACACACATTGCTTAATTGAAGGTCAAATGTGCTTCTTCGCATATCCAAGGACTAAAAAGTAATAATGCAATAACACATGGACTAAAAATGCTAGTGGCCCTATTTTTTAGTAAGGTAATTAATTTTAATTTATGTAAGGGAAATCCCCATATACAAGTAGTATACCCAAAAGTAGAGCAACTTAGACCTAAATATGTTTCTCTACAAAAGTCAGCTAATCATCTATACAAACAAGGACCTTATGGGTGTACCAAAAAGGAACTAGAGACAGGAGGCTGCTCCTTACATGTACAAAATCATCGTCGACCCCTTCAAACACTTTCCTATTCCTTTCCCTCCAAACTACCCACATAAACACCTACTGGAACTACATCCCATGCCTTGGGTCTTCTCCTCCTTCTTCTGAAAGCTCAGATGTACATTGCCTCCTTTACTGTTCTTGGCGTGACCCATTGTACTCTTAAGCAGTTTAGGACCTCCCACCATAGGCGCGTAACTACTTGACAATGTAAGTAGTAAGTGGTCCACATCTTCTCCTGAACAATTACACATATAGCACCAGCTAACATGTATGATTCTCCTTCTCAAATTCTCGGCAGTCAATATTGCTCCCTTAGCAGCCAACCACACAAAGAAGCGACGTTTTTTGGGCGCCCTTGGCATCCAATCCAAAAAATGGGGGGAAGTCTACTTCATTCCTTACTAGGAGTTTGTGATAGAATAATTTGACTGAGAACCGTCTATCCCTCCCCTTCTCCCATATCCAACTGTCAAGTAGAAGGTGCAATGCATTCTGTTTGTAAAGTAGTTCTACTTTTTGCATCACTTGGACATCAGTTTGCTTTCATTTTTCTTCTGTCTGACGGTGCTTTCCGTCCATCCCGTTTTAGTGTAGATTCCTTTTCTTCTAAGTTTAGATGAGAGTGAGGTGGACGATTTCATGTATTCTTAGAAAGTTCATTTTCTGGCCAATTCTCAGTGTTAATTTTCTTGGAAGGTTTGTCATAAGTTAAAAGATTCAGTACTCTGCAATTACCTGGGAAAGACAAGCAGAGCCCTTAACGGCTGATTTGGACATTGTGGCTCAAAAGTAGAAAGAACTAGTTGGCTTGGATAGGTGTATCAATGGATAGTGGATGGGTTGGAATGAGACTATGTCAGATGGTTATTAAAAAGTAATCATACCCTTGTAGAATAACAACTCCAACTCAATAAACTACCAGTGAGTTGCATCTTAACTAGCTTAGCTGAAGTCTCACTAATATATTCTAGTTTTTTCCTAGTTTGACAAAATTTTTGCATTAAAAGATGTGTTTCTTGTAACCCGAAAAGAAAAGACACTTTGGCCATCAGAAGCAGTTGAACCCAAGCCTTTAGGTAAAGATGCTTATAATTTTGTCCATTCTGGTCAAGCTCTATGATAGGCCATATGTTTGCTATCTGTCGTTATTCTCATTTCAAGCTTTGTATTGATTAGATGATGACTGGGGTTGAGCCACACCAGTTATTTTGTACACAATTTTACACCATTTTATTCTGATTTATCAAAACAAGAATAAAGTTTTCATGCTACTATCCGTTTTGTCTCCCAGATTCAGGTCTCGTCCTTCGAATTAATTTAGGCAGTTGTGCATGGATACTCTCAACATTGGTGCAATGATTGGAATTTCAACTAAATGTGATTGAAAAGTAGTTATATTGCTGATTTCATCTGTTCTCTCTTGCATGAATGTTGGTTGAGAAGCCTCCTATACCGCCTTTGGCTGGTCCTCAAGGTCCTCATCAGGGTGCTATTCCATCCATGTCGCTGCAGGTAAAGTTTTTTACGTATTTTGGGGGCTGGGGTGGAGGGATAAATGGTGTTTGACTATAGAATTGCTATGATAATTATGTTTCCCACGTTTAGCAGTTCCAGCCTATGCTTCCACCCCAGCAGGCACAACCATATGTTTCCGGGCCATCTCAACAGTTTCAGCCACTTGGACATACAAATGTTGCAATGCCTCCTCAACCTTCACAAATCCAATTTCCTCAATCAATGCAACAGGTTGCTGGTAGACCTGTAGTAGGAGGACATAGCATGCCTCAAGGACCACCTACTCCCCATGATTTTCAGCGAAATAGGCCTGTCACTCCTGTTCAAGCACCATTTCAGCCAAATCTTCCAATGTCAAATAACCACATGCCTGGTGCAGGTGGCCCAACTTTGCCATTATCTTCTTCATATAATGTAAGACCTTGAGAAGAGCTCTTGCGGTTATTGTTTTATTAGTTTTCAATGTTTTCTTTCATCATATTGTTGAAATTCATCATTTCTGTTGCCATCTTCATCTTGTGGGAAACAGCAGGTAAATGCAGATTCTTCCAGCTCCCATTATCAGATGCAGATACATGATCATAGTTTTCCGTCAGGGGGACAACCCTGGATGTCAACAAGTAATCATAATGTGAACTCTGTGACAAATATGCAGAAGACTGGGGAACTAGCAGCCCACTTGGCTGTTCCAGTGAGAATTCAATGTGTTTAATTGTTTATGTTTCTATCTGTTTCAATGTTTTTAATATATTTTGGGTTTCAGGAAGCTGTTTATGGGGTTGACTCTGTTGAGACTGCTCTGTCAGATTGGATTGAGCATACTTCTCGAAATGGGAAGAAGTATGTGATTACCTTCTTTTCTTGTTTTTAATTCTTGGTAATATGTTAAGGTTAATGGGTGTGCGTAATGGCTAAGAGAGTCAAATTCAATTCTATGATACTGCAATTTCTGTTGAGGCTACTCCGTCAGATTGGATTGAACATACTTCTGGAAATGGAAAGAAGTATGTGATTTCCCTTTTTGACTTGGTTTTAATACTTGGTAACATGTTAAGGTTAATGGGTGTAGTCACTAAGAGAGTCAAATTTTCAATTCTATGATACTCCAATTTTTGATAAGCAAACGTTTAAGATTTCAGTGAATGTACTGATATAAAACATTGCTATACAGGAAAAGGAGTGGAAAAGTATTAGCTTTTCATCCAGATCCAATCATTTATAGTTTGAGTGCTCTAGACACTAAAAGAAGAGCATGCCGAATTTGACTTATCGGAATCCTTGCTTTTGGATTATATTCACCTAGGTTACTCATAAGAATATGACGTTCAATTCCCTAGAACACGTGTATTTGAGAGTCATTAGACCTTTGGTTAATAGTTCAGTTGTTCCTAGAGGAATTCACTCTGGGCATCCAAAAAAAGGGAGGGCTGTATCAGTGCCTGGGAGAATTATCCATCCCATCAAATAGAAGCTGATGATGTGAACTTAGAGCTTTTATCCCTCTTTCTAGATCGTCTTGCTACGCTCCATCTGTCAAAATGTTAAATGTGCTGCATATCTCAGATGTCTGCTCACCAGGAAAGTTGACAGTTAGCACTTCCTTTCCTCTTTAAGACTCTTCAATTTCTCGCCAAATTGTCCACATCATTGCTGGAAATGTCACTTCCCAAGCAATGTCTCTATTTCTTCTTGTAATTCTGTCGTGAATCTGGAAAATGGTTCTTCATGTTTCCTTGCATACTCAACTGATATCTCTCATGTTTAGCATCTTATTCCATGCCCTTGCTACAGTGTAACTTTGAGAAATAAGTAGAAGAGTTTGGTGAAATGCATCAAAACAATATCTTACGCCTGAATGCTTCTATATGCACTCTTTACTATGTTTTTTTAAAGGTAAAATAACTTTATTATGATAGGAATTAGTTTGGAAAACAAGCTGTATAACCATAAAGTAGAAAATCCACAAAAAAGATGATTCTCTATAAAGGATACACAATCTCCTTGCAAACTGGATTCTAATTGGTGCACCAAAAAGAAATTAGAGGTAATATTCATCAATGTACACAATCACTTTCTATCCCTTCAACAACTCTCATATTTCTCTCCCTTTAAAGGAAGGACATAAGAGCTAGTGGAGCAACATCCCACACCTTTGTCTTCTCTCCCTTCTTCTGAAAGCACAACTTAATATTGCCTCCTTCACTGTGCCTGACATCCTCCATTGTAGCCGAACCATTTCAAAATCTCCCTTCATAACTGATATGCCACATATAATGCAAACGGCGATGATCTATATCTTTACACGAAGTGTTATACATAAAAAACCAACTGACATATGTAATCCTCGTTCTAGTTTCGCTGTTGAGATCACTCCTCTTACTGTCAACCAAGACAAAAAACATACCTTTCTGGTGTCCCAGCCAAATTGATAGATACAGGGATGCTAGTTCTTCTCTAACCAAAAGCTTATGGTAATACGATTTAACTGAGAGCCTCCTGTTGATCCCAAGCCCATCTCCATTAGTCCTGTTTGACAAGCAATGCATTTACCTTGTAGAACATTTCAAATAGGCTTTCAAGTTCATCTATCTCCCAATCTTGAAGACACTCCTCCTATACTTCAAGTCCCATTGAATTCCTCCTCATGCATCCTTCTTACGCGTTGTTCTGTCATTTCTTTCCGTAGATGTTTGGAAATGTGTGAATCAACCACACCACATGTGCTGCCAAAAATTGCCCCTAGTTCCATCCCCAACCCTAAATAGGACATATCCGTTGAACTCGTCCCATCCCTTCATAATATTCCTCCACAGGCTGCTCCCAAAAGGAAAATGTGTTTTAAGTCCTCGGCCCCATCCACCTTTCATGTTTTTCCGCTATTACCCCCTTCATAGAGCTTGTTCCTCGATCTCAAATATCTATGTAGAGCCTTGCTGAAAACATGAAGATCTATCCGTGAGGCCTCCCCATCTCTTTAGTGTTGTTACTCTCTCCCATTTGACTAAGTGAAGCTTCGGAGCCCCCTTTCCTTACTCCCATAAGCAGTTCCTTTGGAGTCTCTCTAATTTATATGAATACTAACCAGTGCTTGTAGCGGTGACATGAAGCATGTCGGAATAGTCGACAAAGCACTCTGTACTCCCTTCCTCCCTTTTGACAAATAGTTCCTCTGCCATCCTGCTAATCTCTTTTCAACTCTTTCAATCATCACTTTTCACATTGTTTGGTCCTTGTTAGACGCACGCAAGGCACACCAAGATGTATAGTGGGTAGAGCTCCAAATCGATATGGTCCACTGCACCGCCCACTTACATGATCTCATACTTTGTGAGGTTTTATCTTCAAATCTTGGTACTATCTCATACCATATTGGGTTAATGTCTGCATCACAAACACTAATGTGTTGTCTGCGAACAAATAGTGGGTAAATTGGCTCCCATTACTGTCAAGAAGTCCCTCAAGTATCCACCTACAACTGCTTTGCCCATCCTTTTTGTTCCAGTAGTATCGAAGTCAATGTGCCCTGCAGTCTGAGTCCCCTCGGACTGCCAAAGACACCGCATGGACTGCCATTCACCGCAACCAAGTTCTATCTGACTATTGATTAGCATAACTTGATCCACCTCAATCAATGAAGTTATTTTGACCCCAATTTACCATCATACATCTTTTACATGTGGATTCATGCTAGTAGGTATTGCTAATTCAGCATCTTTTAATGATCACTTGCCAATCATGATTGCTATTGTTATTATATTTCCTATGGGTTTATCACTTCAACCAATTACTAACTTTCTTACAATTCTGCAATTGATTTGTAGATATTATTATAATCGAAGGACAAGAATCTCTAGCTGGGAGAAACCTCTAGAGCTGATGACAGAAATGGAGGTGAGGTCACTTGTCAGCCAGCTTTTAGTCTTTTGCTTTATGCAAGTAGTGACGGTTTAGTTTTATCCAATTTCTTGTACTTAAAAAAAGTTTTATCCTATTCTTGAAGTATGAAGCTTCAACACTCTTTCTTTCCTGAACATCTGTGATTTCTGCATAATGTTCGGAGAGAGAGAGAGAGCAGATCTCTCTGATCTTGCTATACTATGTAGTCTTCATTTGGATATTCATTTGCCTTTTGTTTCCAGTATAGATATAAAAGATTTTGTATTTTCCACTATCGTTCTAAAAGATGTGTGTTAAGCATATGCATTACATGATTATTTTGGGCCATTTTTTTACCAGCAATTTTTTTGTCTTGATTAATGTAATGTCATTGTCACTCTATAGCTAGATGGAGAGTGGAAACTTGATGTAAGACTGAGGTTCTCTCTTCTCATTCTGGTTTACAGAAGAGTAGTTTGGCTAGTTGGGAGATTTTTGGACTTTGATTGTTTAAGGTGAGGGACAAATATTAAGGGACTGAGAGCTGGAGGTATAAGGAAGTCTGAACACTTACAAAGCAGTAATGTTGCTATTCAAAGCGTAAAATTGTATCCTATTGAAATAAATATGCACAAAACATGGAAGAAGTAAAAAAGTAGAAGATTGATAATTTAGGATTTTGCCAAGACCCCAAAAATTAATCTGTTGAGGATGGTCCCAAACCACAAATAAACTTTATAAACTTTTGGAAATTAATTCAAGTGTTCTAGGACTTAGTTGAAAAATAAATGGATATACGAAGCAACAAGTTTCTTTGACTAGTACTTTAAGATGAGGCTACACAATGCACATTTTCTTTGGATCTATTTGCCTAAATATGTGTCATACAATGAGAAACCATAGGTGTCCTGACTTTCTTCTTTTTGGAGGGAACATATGATATATCCTCGGAGTTACCTTCATTCTTTGTTCCTAAAACTTGAGCAATTAACTGTTGTTGTGATGTGCAGCTTATAAACTAGAAGATCAAACAATAAATATAGAAGTTACCGATATATGAAAAATAACCTGCCAAGTTTCATTAGCTAGCTCGCATTCTGGCGCATGTGCTTTTAGTTCTTTGTATCTTAATATCAGTAGGTGTGCTTAGATTAGGTTTTCTTTTAAGAGCTTGACTTCCTTCCTCTAGTCACTCTGATGGGATTGTTTAAATGTGAGGAAATCTCGTTATTTCCTTCTATTGTCAAAGAGAAACTATGGAAAAGTGTCAAAATTTGTTGGAGTTGTAAGGACAAAGCGCGGTGAAGTATGAGCTTTAGCAAAGAAAGACGCCAATCAAGAATATATACAAATAGTTAATTATTTGCAGAATATATCTAGACCCCCTTGAACTTAGTACATTTTGTTAATTTTGGTTCTAATTACTCCCTGAACTTCGCATTTGATAGCCTCGACCCTCCAGGATGCTGATGTGGCTAAAACCATAAATACACTCTCTTATAGGCCATGGATGGGAAGAAAAAGAAATTAGCTTTCAAGTGGGGTATTTTCCTGTGAGAAGGCACGGGAGAAAATATGATATATTGATATTGTGTCTTCAATACAATACAAGAGGTCCTTATTTATAGCTACACTATACAAGGACATACTACTCCTATTCCAATGTGGGACAAGACTACATTATATACATATCTAACACTCCCCCTCAAGCCGGTGCATTCACATCATATGTACCGAGCTTGTTACACATGTAACTAATACGAGAACCAGTAAGATACTTAGTGAAAATATTTGCTAGTTGATCATTCAACTTTACAAACTTTGTAACAATATCTCCTGAAAGTATTTTTTCTCT